AAACCTCCAAACAGCAAAATGTTTCCTCAATAAATAGTTGCATATTACCAGCACCACAGTCAATTCAAGTAGGCAAAAGCAGACGTTTTCATATCTGCACTGAAATCAGGGCTTGGAAGTTGTTAATATGGTCAACTATTTCATTCACCAACCTTAAGTTTGACGGTGTGGACTAGTTTTATGGCGTCATCTAGCATAACCCCTTGCAGGATCCACAGAAACATTTCTTAACGGTGTTTATAAGGTTGTGCATCCTTTCAGGGTTTTCATCTAGAATTAATATGAAGTCTGCGTACTCTACTTCAACTTTAAATTATCCCACTAGCATAAGGACGTTTGAGGTGCCAAATCCAAACAAACTCAGTTATTTCGATAAAGAAAGGAAGACGAAATTCGCAGTATAAAATGATATCATTCTATTTTTCAGGTTCTCATCAGCTACAGACTACCTGAAATTACAATAGTTGTATAGGTGATAATAACATGCTTTAATATTTGAGTGGTAGTAGAGAAGTGATACTATAAAACTGATGCATCCAAAATGAAAGCATTACAATTTTTAGTTTAAGTTTTCGTCATTAAATTATACGCTTTCAAAGTTGAAAAGAGAGGGAAGGGGTAAGACAGAAAACAAAAATGTTAATAAACAAAACAGTGTTAGCTTGTAGGTACATATAGGAACTCTCGGCAGCAAAACTCATAACATTATACAGCACCACTTCTTGTATAAGCCACTCAAAACTGGATAAATTCCCTGCTGATGTCACCTCCAACTGCGTATATGAATTCACGTGCACTTGCGGGAGCAAGTACATTGGAAGGACGGAAAGAAGGGCTTCTATCGGGTTTTTTGAACATATACCAAGAAATCTGTGCCTTAAAAGAAGCGAAGAAATATTTACTTTTGAATTAGATCCTCACCTCTGCCTCTACTTTTATATATATATATATATATATATATATATATATATATATGGCATTTTTATTACAATACACAATTTATCAATCAACTGGTGATATGTTTGTTTACAATAATTAGTCAGTATCAGCATGTCAATGGGGTGATAATTAACGAACAAAATTAATACTCCCAATTAAAAGGTAGGAATCGTTGCCGTATGGATTGAGTTATGCATAATTTTGGAAAAAATGAAGAGTCATTATAAATTATTTAAATTAATCTCAGCGTGTTAAAAAAATCAAAACAAGATTTTTCTGAACGTTTCGCTGTGTAAGCCACATCATCTTCATCAGATTTATTCGGATTTTTATGAATCATCAAAAAATATCGAAAATTATTTTTTGATGATTAACACTCTGGGATTAATTTAAATAATTTATAATGAATCAATCTGACTCGGCGCTCAAATTATTCCAGGAAGTTCGTATCACCTACGGTCTGGAAACCTTTAAAAATGAAGAGTAATTAAGTAATAGGCGTGTGCACAGGTTGATTACGTAACAGATTGTTAGAGAAAATAAAATGATCTGGTTAATGATAACTTGTAACTAAGGTTGAAGCGGTCATAAGAATAAAGTAATTTTACAAAGATAACGTGTAATTAATGATATAGGTATAAAACTTGGGCACTGTGGTAGAGCATAACTCCATTATGAATAAGATTTTATTTTGATAAATCACACAGTGCTATACAGTAATATAAACCGATGACGTTTCGAGCACAAACTGTTTCTCATAATCATATCTGCTTATGTGTACCATGGATGTGCGATTCCAATTCGGCAACACTTTTTACCGCCAAATAGATGGTGTAGCTATGGGCAGTCCACTTAGCCCTGTTTTAGCAGAAATAAATTCATGTCCAACCTTGAAAGAACAAAGTTGAAGCATGCAATCGACGAAACAACTTCCTACTGTCGATATGTTGATGACACATTTATAGTGTGCAACAATGAAAGTCATGCTTCACACTTACTCAGATTATTCAATGATGCACACACCAATATTGAGTTCACTATGGAACAATGCTTACATTTTAATAGCTTTTGTCCAAATGGCTTTAAACACGGACTAGTCAAGACTCTGTACTACAGAGCGAGGAGAATATGCCCTATAGGGAAATTGGAGGAAGAATTTGAGTTTTTTGAAAAGATATTGAAGATTAGTGGGTACCGTCAAAGGTTCATCAACAAGTATGGAAGATCTGAAGTCACAAATGTAAAACAAATCACAGTGAATAAAAAGCCGATCTACATTCATCTTGATTATAAAGGTGAAAACATTGCAGTAATGATCAACAGAAGGCTGAGTACATCATTAGTCATAGTCTATCCTGCAGCTAAGCTAGTCCTTGTCTATCGAACAACTTGTTCTTTGGTGCAATCAAAAATCGATAAATATCCTTCTCATGTTAACTCCAACTGTATATACAAATTTACATGTATCTGCGGGAGCAGTTACATTGGAAGGACAGAAAAAGAAGAACATCTCTACGAATTTATGAACATGTACCAAAAAGCTTATGTCTAAAGAGAACAAATGCTTTAAACAGTGCCATAGCCAGGCATCTCTTTGACACGGGTCATGTATTGGACGTCGAAAAGTCGTTCAAAATTATCAATAGGCGAACCACCTCAATTATCCTTAAGTTTGCTGGAGCCATCTCCATTAAGCTCCTGAAACCTGATTTATGCACTCAGAAAGAAACAGTTATCAGTCTTTCTTTGCCGTATTAACTGGAGATTTTCATCCCTCTTTCATCTGAATTCGAAATTCTGAAAGTTTCCATTGTGTATGATTATTATTGTTCGGAATAGTGTTTAATATTATATATATATTACAGTATGCATATATTGGTCGATTGATTTTTGTTTAAAATTAACCCTGTGCAAGTATGTTAAAATTGCTTTTGTAGATATATTTAATGATGTCTTTGGCCTGTAAGCAGCTGACGAGAAGGCAACAAATAAAAGATGGTACCACTTTATTCTGCTAAAACTGTAGTTCTTGCTTTGTTCAAATTTGTTAGAATGTTGTGATGTGTTTGAATTGAAATAGAATTTTAAGATTATTTATTATCCTTTTTGGCCGGATAAACTTTTTTGGCCGGCGGTAATAATATCTTCCATATTTCTGGTATTTTCATTGAGTCATTTCTGTTGCATGTGCTGAGTGTAGAAGATAAGTAATCTAGAAAAAAGCTCAGCCATCGCACCTCACGCATTAACACACAATCACACAATGGGGTGGGAGAGGGTAAAATTTTGAAAAGTAAGTTGGGTAGGTAGAGACAGAGAGAGAGGTTGATTACTGAATCCTTGTTCATCGAGTCTATATCCAACACATGTAACAGAAATGACTCAATGCAAATAGCAGAAATTTGGAAGATATTATTACCGCCAGTCAAATCAGAAAAGGATAATAAATAATCTTAAGATTCTATTTCAATTCAGTTGCATCACAACATTGTAACAAGTTATTTATTATGACTTTAAAAGCACTCGCCTTATTTCCCATCTGATTGTAATTGATCAATAACACTCATAATATTATTATTTCTCAATGAACATTATCCTTTATTGATTTTTATTCCAATATCTAACTGATTCCCCACATGTATATAAATGAAAGAAAAATGTTGTGTGAGTAGCTTGATATGATTATGAGTGGCAGTAGTTTGTGCTCGAAACGTGGTCATCAGTTAATATTACTGTACAACACTGTGTGATTTATCAAAGTAAAATCTTATCCATAATGGAACATGTAATTAAAGATGAATTAGTCAGAAAAATGAAAAATAATTTGGACAGTTATAATTTTTAAAGGTTTAAGGGAAGGGGGAGAAGTAGTTTGGTTTATACATTCATTAAACGATGGCCAAGGTAAGGAAAGTCGCTGTCCAAATTTCTTGTGAGCCCACAGGTTTGGCTTCTTCAGGTGGATTCTTATTGCTTCAACTGCATGTAGAAGACGAATTCGTAAAGCAAAATTAAGGTTAGCAGTTGTGCAATAAATAATTTTAAATGCTGTATTAACGTCAACCTTATGCTCACTATCTACAAGGTGGGCTAAAATAGAGCTACGAATGGATCTTATTTGTTCTTTGTATTACCATGCTGGATGATGTTCGGAAATACGATGATGAACCTGCCTAATTGTACGCCCTATGTAGCTGGCTCCACAGCCATCTTCAAACTGGTAGATGCACATAGAGAAGGCAAATCTGGGTAGTTTATCCTTATTTTTCGAACGTAGAATAAAGGGTGGTTGTGAAGAGACAACGTACCTCTCCTGCTTAATAAGTTCTTTTAACTGCATTATTCAGGCATTATGTTATTATTTCGCTGATGCTGTCACCGAAGAACTGCAGTTTTGTGAACAGTGGTTTTTTTGTATCTGTTGACAGTGGATGAGATGTAGTTAGGGGTTGATTCAAAAGTCTTTTGAGGTAATGAGCAAAAGTAAATTAACAAAATTCTTTTCGCTAATAAGTCTTACTGACAGGCCATAATCTACAAGTGATGTTATCTTTTTTATATCTTTTATTTTCGTCACTCGTCACTGTTCTTGTTTTTCACAAAGATTTTTAGTCAGCAACATTCCTACCTCATCATTTCAGACGGTTTTTAAAGTCCGTCTGTCTTCACAGTCAGTATGGACGATGATACAAAATATAGTGGACTCATTTTCAGCTTAAGCTCACCGCTGTTTCAATAATAAACTCAGTACGGAAAACACTGATCCTTATATTTGTTACTTTGATTGACTATCTCTTAGCACTAGATTAAGGACCAACTTCACTAGACATCTGCGGGAATTCAGTCATAAAAATCCTATGCATACTACCAGTCTCTTCATGAAGTGAGATATGTCTAGAAAGTTTCAAGAAACGTTACGGAATTCTTTTTTTATTTTTACTTTAGAAGTAGGCTAATTTATATAAAAAATGAGTTTACTCTATTAACTCGAATATTCAATCTTTTAAATTTCGGCACTTAAAATGTTACTATTTTCAATTTGTACGTTTTATTTTTTCCAGCCATTTAACAAGTAAACTCAGGAAACATAAATTACAATCAAAAGAATTGAAACCAACAAGTATGAATGTTGAAACTAGTACGAAACAGCTGATCCACAAGGTTGTTTCACCTTCATCTTCGATATTATCATTGCCAGAAAATAGAAAATGTTTTTCACATTCTCCATCGGGCAATGTTCATAAGTATCTGGAGGGTAGGTGTGATCGTCCTAAGTTTTACCCTACATTGAAGTCTCCGAAAATATTGCCACCTATAATGAAACCTAAGGAGGTACTACTGAAGTCTGACTATCCAATAATTAGTAATCCAGTGGAATCTAATCGAAGACCAACTACAAAACCTCCTGAACCTAAAAAGAAGTCATCGAAGAAGTGTAGTGTAGTGATGTCAGATGAAATAAACACATGTAATAAATCTCAGTCTACAATCAGTGTTAACATAAATGATTATGAGGGTGCTACTGACGATAAAATATATCAACAGATACCAACCAAATCAAATCACACACCACCTGCTGGAAACGACGAAAAAGGCTCATTCATGAGAAATTTCAAAAGGTTGTCTCGACAGTGTTTATTTGAAAAATTCCAAAAATCTGCAAGTGATTCTGTGGATAGTTTCTCAACTGAAACAACACTAGCATATCGTGCACGTCTTTCATGTATTGCATTCCTACATTTTCTAGTGAGTATGGTTGTCAACTAATAAATTTTTATACTTAACAGAAATGCTTTTAATTTCTAATTTCGTTTGAGTCCATTGATGATGACTTTATTCTTGTTATGCCCTGAGATTTTCAAAATTGTAGAGTGCTCTGAAACAGCTTCAAAGTACAATGCTAAGCACCTCACTCATCCACAGGAGCTTTCTTTCGAAAATGGATTTATTCAGTTGAAGGCTTTGGAACTTGTAAAGTGTCACTGGAGGAAATTCGAGACACCTGGTGCGTATATGCACCGATCAGAAATTTTTTTATAAAACCAAATTACATGGTTCTCATGCATTATTGAAATTATACTGTGGGAGTTCCTTCAGATTTTATGATGTCAGATCAACTATGCTTAAACGTTGCTCACAGGCATCCTCGTCACACTTATTTCGGTTTTCAGAGGGATCACAGAATATCGTCTGAGGGTGGGACAGAGCTCCGTTCTCTTCAAAAGCGGAATCTGACAAGAATCTATTTCTTCAGGTCCTTGCACACCCATCTCGGTAGCGTCACGAGCAGTGGAACAGGCCTGTTCAACAACCACATCAACACATAGCTCGGGGAAAACGCAACACTGCGAAAAATCTAGTATTATCTGAGAAGTTGTACGCCAAACATATCCACAGATGCTTCAACGAAGAAGCAGTTGACGCCGTGGTGGGACTAATTGCTTAACACTGTCTTCTTCGATTTCGCACTCGCCACTGACAAAATTCAGTGCATCCCCCAGCGTAGGATAGGCTCCGCTGGAATCAAATGTCTACTTGTATTGTAAAATGCAATTTCAGTGAAGTATGGAGATTCGGCAGCGTAAGTCGGAAACAAAGTTATTGGAATGACTTCCACTTTTCAAGAAGTTCAAAATAGTTTCACTGGTTAACTAACCACTGCTATGGATTACTTGATTACTCCGTATTCATCCTCTTCGATAAATTTTGATAAAGTTATTAGAAGACTGAATTAATTTGAAGAACGCGATTAATTCAGAGAATAAATATCATTTCTTCATTTTTCATATAAAGTAAATTCACAAGAAAATACGTCATCAGATTGTCTGAATTAATACATTGTGAGGATTAGACAGTAACCGAATGAAGCTTCAGTTCGCGGACGTGAATATGAGGGTGAGCATAATTAAATAAGAATTGGCGAGACTGTGAATGCATTCCATTATCCACTACCATCCTGCCTATTTATGCGTGTCATTCTGCGAGCTCCAGTCAAAGATTTTACATGTCTTTAAAACAAGAGTTATAGATTTCTAAATGATTTGATGAGTTGTTTACATGTAACGGTCTGTAGCACTTGTAAAATCCAATCACTCTTTGGTTAAATTAACTGGTTCCGGAAGAGGTCAGGTAGTTAGTATTCACAACTTCATTGAGTGTTTTGCTGCCCTTTTGGAAAATCATGTGACTGTTTTCCACCTTATTTACAAAATGTCTCTGCAACGTGATAACCAGGTTTTTTGTTGACCCGATTTCCGGCCTTTTATTTAAACTTCATAATACTAGGTCATTTCCGTTATGTAAGAGCTAATTAAACTACTGAAGTTCCTAAACCTTTACAAGACGCCTGAAAGTTGACAGTCTTAAAAGGTGAATCATAATACCACTTACATGAAATTTAATTCAGGGAAATTCAAAGGTGCCAATTTATCTGAAATTACATATTTTAACTGGGTGCTCGAGAAACCTGTTTTATAGTCAACAGCTTCCTATGCTTTATATAAATCGAGAATTAAAGTTTTTAGAGTGTAACTTGAATGGTCTTCATATTTTAATCTTTGCCAGTCAAAAATATAATTTGGAATGTTAAGTTCGCAGTTCTTCTTTCTATTGAAATGTTTATAAAAATTTACTATTGATACTAAACTACCGGTTGGACTAAATAATCTGATAGCTTGTTTTCCTTTCATTTTTTTTTCAACTTACTGGTGTTCTCAGGTATCCTTACTTTAATATTTCAACTGTTTCACTTTAGATGTATTCACTACATTTAAAAGGGCTCCGACTAAGATTCTTAAAAAGCAAATCATGATTTGCACCTTATCTCGTGATGGACTGTTTTGTCTACTATGTTGTCTGAAGAAATACTTCAGTTTTACATTCACAGCTATTTGTTAATTAAATCTCAGAATGGAATTCAGTGTATTACTTATGAGTGAAAGAGATTAAGAATGCTTAGACCAACTTTCAGTGAAAATATTTAGCGTTGCGTTGTGCTATGAGAGACTGAACTTTATTATTTAATAAAATATTGTTAATAATAACATAAGGCTTCAATGTATGAAGGTTATTAGAAAAGAACACAAGTCTTATGAATCATTTAGTCAAACGCTTTGCAGTCTATAATCAAAAGAGACACTTTCACAGGCTTGTGTTGGAGATATCTACTGATTTCATGTTCAGTTGAACGTGAGGACTAAGTTAGCAGATTATGAAGACTATAGTATTTGGGCAGAAGCAATGACTAGAAATCAAATGAAACGCATGTTTGGTGGAATCTGAGAGTATAGTATGTCAGGGTGATTACTAATGAACATTGAAGAGAGTATTATTTGTGCAAATCAGTAGTATAGGAATACATAAATATCAATATCATCAATAGAAAATATTTTACGAATTGAACAGGAGAACAGCAGCTGTTTATTGTTGCATACGTAAAGGTCATGTTGTTAAAATGAGCAAAATGTGAATCAGTATGTTTAATTATTTCTCTGACAAAAGATTTGGTGTCTATCTTGTTTAATATGTTGAGATGTGTGAGATTGGGCCAGTAAGACATGAAATGCAGACTTACAGTTTATTCCTTGAAAATAAACTGACTTCACAGGATTGCGTAATAAGATGCCGTTATTTTGGTGGTGTAGTTCCCTGTATTGATTATTTTATGTTAGCTTGTCACTTCCCTTTGACATTTTTTATTTTTTCTTGCATTATTAACTTAATGGCTATGAATGTAAGGAACTAAACGTCAGGCTTTAAGCAGGATTCTCAATCAGGCTGGAATTAGGGTGGCATTTAAACAAACCAAATCTCTCAGAGATAAATTAGTAGGACGGGGTCAACTAGGTTATTGGAATATAAAAGTTTAGCTAAACGTAGAATAATTGATCTAGAAAAGTGCTCATCCATGGCACTGCATTCACTTACATGTAACCACAAAATAGGTTAGGATGAAGTGAGAGTAGTAAAAAGTATTACAGTTAGTTGGAGAGAAAGGTTAATTACTGAAGCTTTGTTTATCGATTCAGCACCGCATATGTGCAATCGGAGTGACGCAACGTCTGTACCGTAGATATGGCAAGTGGCAATAAACAACAAAGGGAAGTTGGAGAGACAGAAAGAGGGAATGTATAAGACAAGTTGTGAAAACGTGTGACTCAAAATGATATCATTATGAGTGGTAATAATTTATGCTCGAAACCACCTTGTCATCCAGTTGTTAATACTGCATCACTGTGCGGTAATTAAAATAAACTTATCGTATATAGAATTACATTCTACCACAGTGCCCAAATTCTGCACTTATATTCTTTTTCTGTGATGTTGTTGACTCAACGGTTTTATTTTCTTGTTGTTACCATAGTCTTAACATTTTATGTGCCGTTTATTCGTGAATATCGTTCTGATTGTTGTTTAAATTTTCTGCTAGAATATTAATAATAAAAGAATTTAAATACCATGTCCCGAATATTCTTAATTGTTTTATAAGCCTCGGCTTCATTCTTCTTTTCTTTCTGTATTCAGTTATCCAGAAGTGATCTTGCATTAACCAGTAGGGTTAGATTTTCACAACTTCGTTATCATCAAGATCATCATGGTATATTCCACATACGATTATTTCATTTCTTTGTACTATTTTTGGTGGTAGTAGTATGTACAATATTTATACCTGCGGCTGTATTTTACCGCTTAGAAGACAACTGGACCTATTTAGATTCAGTTTATTATTGTTTTGTATCGCTCAGTACAGTTGGCTTAGGCGATTTGGTCCCAAGTCAAGACAGGAGACACGATGTACCGAAAGTTATATCATATGTTTATGCAAAAAATATATATAAACTGGCAACTTCGAGTAAGTTAAAGACATTTTTTGTATACTTAAATACTACGAGTATAACTCCATTATGGATAAGATTTTATTTTGATGAATCACACAGTGTTGTACAGTAATATTAACTGATGACCACGTTTCGAGCACAAACTATTGCTCAGAATCATATCACGTTACTCAAAACGTCATCAGTTAATATTACTGTACAACACTGTGTGATTTATCAAAATAAAATCTTATCCATAATGGAGTTATACTCTACCATAGTGCCCAAGTTTTATACTTATATCAATTTCTACGTACAAATCTGACTGCCGTAACAAAATCTGAAATCATGCATTTGTAAAGTATTTCCTCACTATGTGCAGTACTGCTGGGGATACCTTTTTCTCAAATAATCAGAACGTTTTATTTTCGCGTAAAACACATGACCGACTTATTTTAAGCTGAATATTTTCATTAAAAACTGAACAGGTGGTCTTTATTTAGAATAATTTCTCAGATTGATCAGAAATTATGAAGTTAATTTTCAGCATCAGCCTCTGAACTCTGACACTAAGCTATAAACGTAGTTCACTGGGCAAAATCTTCTGACTGTGAAAAAACAGAAGGTGAGAGAATTTACCAATGATTTTAGAAGTGAAAAAAGAATGTCATTGTTAAAATAAATTTCAGCACAATACGTCGGTCAGCTTCAAATAATTTTTTCTATTTTGGACTGCAAAATTCAGGTAACTTCATTTTATGACACTGACATAAAAAGTTTACACAGAGTTCTCTAATATGGGTCAATCCATTTGCCAAAACTAAAAAGACTTTATTATCGATGAAATGACCAGGTAACAATTATTTTAGGATATTTTCTAACTGACAAGTCTATCAGTTAACTAAGTGATATTATGCTCAACCAAATTGTTACCTGTATGTGTAATATGCAAAGTTAGTGAAAAAAAGGTATTCTGTTATTCCACGCTAGTTTGTTTACCTAACATACCACACAGGGTGACATTATTATTTAATTTATTTAGTTCCACAACTTTGAAACTTAGTTTTTAGAACTCTTTTCGGTGGATTGATGAAAGTAACAGTTTTAAAACCTAGTATGAAAATGTAAGAAAAGAGATCAGTAATAAGTGTCTATTAGTGAATCAATCGAGAATACATACCACAGGATCTCTAGAAAGTTCGACTCCCCTAGAGCAAACGAAAGGGAAGAGGTAGATTTATGAAAATCAAGTCCCGAAGTGCTAAAGTTGTGCTATTGTTTTTGTTTCCAAATTTTTTCATGAATCTTGAAATGCTGTTAATTAATGATTAAACCATTTTAAATTCAATGGATATAGGAGGCTAGTGGTAAGATTCCAAGAAAAAATTAAAGGTAAACTACATTTAATAATATTAATAATGTTGTGTATCAAGCTGATTCTTGTTTCTCCATACTCTTTTGCTTTCAGTTTACTTAATATGGGGGATTGTAATGACTACAGTACTAGGGAGGGCTTTTCAAGAAATTATCGACTATGAATTCTCAAACGCAGCTTGTGGATTCGAGGATAAGTGTCGTGAACACAGGTTGCCAAGTTGTGGTTCAGGGGCACAATTCGACAATAACTCTTCTTTCTTTATGAACTGTAATCATCTAAAGTCTATTACTGATGGTTAACCAGTGATTTGATATTTTTAATCAAACATTTTTTGAGGTCCTTGTATTTTTTTAATGGTATGTGCATAAAACTAGTTTTTCTTTAGTTCAAAAATAAATGAATTTAGTGGAATAAATACATTTATCTATAATTATGTGGTTATATATATATATATATATATATATATATATATATATATATATATATTAGATCAGGATAATGAATGTCAGTTAAAAGAACAGGCCAAGAAGGAGGTAAAAATACTCGTTATAATCAACAGCAGAAATAATTTCATTGATTAAGTATCGTTATTGATATAAGTATCAAACTTGGGCACTATGGTAGAGTATAACTCCATTATGGATAAGATTTTATTTTGATAAATCACACAGTGTTGTACAGTAATATTAACAGTTAACATTACTGTACGACAATGTGTGATTTATCAAAATAAAATCTTATCCATAATGGAATTATGTATCGTATTTTTTCACATTAGAATTTAAAAATCTACAATAGAGATCAGACAAAATGACTAAATATGGTTCAAGTAAGATCAGAGATTTTACAGGACACATTTCAACCAACTGCAAGAATGATGAATTGCTTTTTTTGTTTCCAATTTCATCTTCTTGTTTACTATATAAATGTTGAAATAAGTTTCTGCTATAATGCAGTTTGAAAATGTACACTTAAGTTGTTCATTGTACTGTGTCATTAGAAACTCCTCTAAACTAATTTTCAATAGGTCAACACTAGACAGTTGAAAGATATTTTAAAAATGATAGACAGTAGCATCACAAATTAAAAATACCATTGTGTGTTCCGCTCATGTAAGCAGTCTTCAAAACTAATGTTTGCTTTGTACTTTAAAAGAAATTTATGGTAATAGATTCTCGAACGGTTTACTATTACTTTTGTGACATTCCTTTCTTGTAACGGAGTGATATATTGCATGGACTTAGACTTGATAAGTGACATTAAGCATGCGTATTAGTATTATAGGAAATAGTGAAGGATACTATGCAACCAGGTATATTGTAATTATTTGTAGTCGGTGTGTAATAAGCACTTCCCAATATTTTCTAACTAATTCAAAAACTTCAGTTATCCATACATATATATATATATATATATACTGTTAGTTTGATTCTGGAGAAACTTTCGTGAATTTAATATCTAAGATACACAAAAAATCCCTATTCATTTCTTTAGAAGAAAACAGCACTAAGCGAAGAAATATTTACTTTTCAGTGAGCTCCTCATCCATGACTCTAATCTAACTTATGTAGCACTTTCAATATAATACAAAAAGAATTTATCCATCTGGTGGTGATAAATTTATTAACAATAATTACGCAATATCAACATGTCAAGTCGGGGGGTGGGGAAGCGATTATAATTAACCAAGAAAGTTGACATAACAAATGAACGGTAGAAATGATTGCAAAAATTAAACAAGTGGATTGCACGATGTATAATTTTACAATAAGAAGGAGTATTTAAGAAGTAAGTGAGTAATAGAGAAGATTTGTAGCTCAGGTGGATGATTTGCATTTAACAGTGTTCTCTAAGCTATTAATTGCAAAAGTAAGTGAGTGTTCAATTTAACTACGGAACCAGTAATTAACCATCAAGTAGTCAGCATAATCAAGTAATCTGGACAATAATAAATTGCAAAAGCTTAAGAGTTGACGGAAATTATCAGCTTTTTACATTTATGTTACATAAATAATTAGGCTGATGCTTATTAAGAAGTAAACGTGGATGAATGAAATTTCGGCCGAAAGTTGTAACAGAAAATAATGATAAAATTGAAGATTATTCTTTTTCCTAAAAACAATCCCAGACAACGCTTAGTATGTTACTAAAAACGTAATCCTTACTGCTGATGATGTAGTGGCGTATTTAGGTCACAAGATTGTGTCTGATATGACTTCTGGACTTTTGCGTTACCTAACATAGTAACTATTATATAGTACATACTACTGATGGATATGAATAGTTGGGAATAATTTATGTCAACCAGTAGAGTTTGCTTGCCAAATCGAAGTGACCGACTGACCGTTAAGCTTGTGCGGTACTGAGCTAATCAGCATCTAGGAGGTGAGGGATTCAGTGTTAGCACAATTCCTAAAGTATTTGTTCTGCATAGACCAAAGGCAAATCCAAACACCAAATCGATCGTCTAAAAACAAAATGTATTTCTGGGTCAAAATCGTAATAGGAGGATGATTGCAAGTGATCGTGCAAGAACAAATGAACAAAAGAATGTGACACGATGTCAAACTAGATGGCGTAGATGATCGACCTAGATCCCCCTGGATGACGGGTCAATCTGTACAGTGAAGGCCAGAATACAGTGAAGTGGGATGAATGCTGTAGGCTAATAATTTTGGGGAGTTACATACTACTACGATCGGGATAAATAAAAAAATTCCTTGAGTTCTGTTTAACTACGTGCGAGGACCGGAAAAACATGGGACGAAATTCGTGGTTTGCTCATTGTATAGTTCAAGGTGCGAGTTCATTACATTTTCCTTTCAAAAGATAACATATGACTTTGTATTTGATGTTAATGATTTCAACAGGCTAATACGAATCATCCAATTAAGCTAACTATTCAAGTTGCAGGTGCCAAGCAGATCACTTATTGTGATCTGAACATATAGGTCTCTGGAGCAAACTCTGGTGAATTTTCAACTCAAATTGTGTAAGTTGCATATTTCATTGAAACACTGTCAAAGTTCACTGAATAGATTTTCTTTTAGGCAAAGATAAGTGTGAGTTTTTATGGATTTTGCTGAAAAATCTGCTTTGCGACAGCAATGATCATAGTAGGGTTCTCCACCATTTACTTTCTAAACCCATTAATAATATGAGACCATATATAACTGTGCTGATTCATTTTTCAGGAGTGAAGATGCAAGTACGTCTACAACTTCTCTTGCGTCTAAAGGGTGATATTATCATTAAGAAAGGTTACGCATACCATCCCTATCTCTAAACGTCACAAGTTTGAAAACCACTCAGAAGATTTATTTATTTTGTTAAGCGAAATAATAAAAATTTTCGTTTAATCTACGGTTCCAAAAATATTCAAGTACTCTCATTTAACATTTGAATTTTCTTGTCAAAACCCACGGCTGCAATCAAGTACTCGAAATCTTGTATTCCTTCCATCTCAGAGATATTTCTCTGAAAAGGCCACTACTTAGAATGCTGAAGTGATATCTTTACATCGGTCGTGCACATCCCTCAAACGCACCCAGAGAATCAGTAAATCATCGTAAGACAATAGATTCTGAAAAGTTTGTTGGTAGTAAAGCCTCTGCACATACTGACTGTTTTGCTCGTAAAGAGTAGGTAATCCGTCGCACCGTATTGTAGAAGTTCGACGATTGTGAGCTAAGCATTAAAAATTTGAAAATAAATTTGAACACAGTCTACCACAGAATAAGTAGTCCGCATTAGCGAATAACTTATGACACCACACAGTTCCAACTTAAGAACAAGAAGCTGTTGGGTACATATGCAAAGTTCCTTAAATAAAGAAAAGTAAGAAATTGGAGTTGATAGCTTATACGTGTTTTGGATAGTATCCGATTAACTCACTAGTTGAGAAACTATGCGGAACAAACCTTCCAGTGAGTCAGAAATAAGAATATAGTATTGAGTGAATGTGCAAATTAAGTAACCTACACAGTTACCTTCACTTGACAATGATTGTTGACGGTTAATGTTTAAGTGGACTGGTCGCGCTGATGACATAATATTATCCATCTCCACTATTTGTCATGTTGAATTCGAATGTCCAAACACAGTTTCCAGTTAGCTGGTCATTTATCTCGCCTTCGTAGCCTCAATCACGAGATAAACATCACTTTTCTAACTATTTATTTGTATTTCTTACTTTGTCTGGCTAACGTTTTATGGGCTGAGTTCGCTGAACATATGTTGATTGTTGGATGACATGCACCTATTATGATCATTATTCTTCTTACCACACATTTTAAGACATTACTTGAAAAATAAACTGAACAAATCTATAAAGAATTTCTGGAAGTTGGAATAACACGAATAAGTCTGAAGATATTTCCAGAAATATAGTCAACTGGTTTATGAAAATGGGATGTACATAACGTCTTCAGAACTCAAGATGGATATTTTTACTAAGAAAACTGTAATACTTCAATTTAGCCATGTAAGAGTCCCACTGTTTGTAAAAGATAGATATCACTTAACTAATCTTTCAGTTACTCTGGGTTGTGAAATTATAGAGAAGGAATGCAAAAATGTTAACCATTACTGAATTATTCCATTCGTACCGAGTGAGTAACTGCCAAAGAAGGGACTAGTCTACAACGGTGAACAGGGACTTATCACAGAAATATATGTCCCTCGGACAGTGATAGGGTATAAAAGGTCAATCACCAGAATCTTACATATCGAATTGTCTCACAGTCGTACGTAGCCGGCTTTAAGGTTTTCATACGGACATACCTCCAGAAACCTATAACGGACCGTTTGTAGCTAAGGTCTGGCAATTTTCTCCTGGGCACCAAGGTCAAGCAACACAAATGCCATATCCGTCTCAGGTACTTCAGGAAGAACTCATATAACACGGTGTGAGTAACTGGGAGACAAAAACCTCCCAGGGGCTTCCATAAACTCAGTTAGCTTTAATAACCATCACTATACCTAATTTTCTTAATCTTCTGTGAGTGGTAAAGCTATTCCACAGATAGATTCAACCAAATTGTCTGACTTTACGAACCCTATTTGCAAACTGACCCAGAAACACAGTAATTTCTTAAAACCATTCTGTCAACTGGACAATGAGGCATTTAACGTCAGATCGCTTTGCCGAATCGGAAAACAGGCTGCACTAGACAGAACTTTGGCGTATAGGGTCGTGGATTTATGTTGTGTTTTTGAAACACATATACAAGTACATTGGTCGCACGTTTGGAGATATTTGTCGATAAACCCAAGACTGTAATCGTTTGGTGCTGTCTCTGTTCAGATAATCATCTTTTCATAGTGATCACAAGTGTCACACATAATTAGAGATATTTCCTCATC